TGATAAAGTAAATTTTTAAAATCTGTATTGTTCGATACAGCACTGCTCGATACGGTTCGATACTGTTCGATACGGGTACATGTATTGTTGCACCCCTAGCACTAACATTGGAAACTCCAACTTGTAGGAGAAACTTTGGATCGATATATTTACAATGTTCTTTCTGAAAAAAACTTTAAAACCAACAAGAAGTCRTTTTTATAGATGTAATATAAAACCTTATCGGCTCATTGTGTCTTTAGCTTCATGAATTATGTGACAATAAGCAGCTAATCAGCAGCTAATCTGAACAAGACACAATCAGACACATAAAAAATGATGCTCTTTTAATAAAATCTTGTTTTAATGCTTGCTGTGAGGGAGGCAGCAGGTAAATATATTAAGTATTAAAGGGAGTTATTAAGTAATATGTATTTATGAGGGKTTTCATGCTGCCTGTAAACATCTATCTGCATTGTTTGACAGTTCAAAAGAGTTCAACTACAAATGGACATCTGTGGTATCATGATTGGTTTCTTTTGGCATTTAATAATCAATTAAATGTGAGCACTGCTTTAAAATCTCTTAAAGCTTTTTGTTCTCAAATGCTTTTTTCATGATACAACCATAAAAAGTAATTCAGCTGTGTCTAGCAACAAAAACGGGGAAAAATTCAATTCACTTTGATAAATTTAAGTCTGTATTATACATTTTAGATAAAAAGTCCATATGCATGCAGCAGCAGCCCTCGTTTCTTGGGTCTCCCTGCCAGCATTCGTCTCATTGAAAACAAAAGATTTGATTCATTAGAACATCACTCACTGGAGCCAGCGAAGCGTGCCCGTATCTGAACAGCTCCCACTGGCGTCGTCGTCTTTGCCTGCTAATAGTTGTCTTGTATCATATGCTTCACTGAGCTGACTAATATTTCCTTCACTTGAGCATTACTTTGAAGGCAGGAGATAACAGTAATATTTGAATACATTTAAAACCCCCACTGTGTCTTYCGCAGACAGCAGGAGTTACATAACGTTTTAAACACTGACACTGAAATTTTTAAGTTAGACAGCGWGCAGATGGGTTGCAGTGATAATAACCTCTGCGTTGGTTTAAAATATGAAATTGTGAGAGGTTGTAAACCTGAAAAAGCAGTGTCAGATTACTGGAAGAAAAAAAACATCGTTTTATTTTGAAAATTGCTGAACTTCTATTATCATTTTATCACATTTTATCATATTTTTCTGACTCTTACTCTATCAATTTTAATTTACTAATTACTACAAATTCAAACCCCTGTGAAGAGCCACTTAGTTGAAATTAGCACCATCAGCTGAGTGTTTGTAAATTCCCTGCTGCATCTCTCCCACTCTCCCTCCACTTTTTTATTTTTTTATTTTTTGCTTTTTCTCCCTCGCTGTCTCCATCTTTCTAGCGCTGATTTGTCTTCCATCAGCCTTTCAGTACCTGCGGTGGAGAGCCAGGGAGCTGTGCCATTACTTATGCATAGGTATCATAGGTATTCATGTGTGTGCATGGGATAGGGCGCATCTAGAGCAGGGGCCGGGGCCCCGACATGACAAACAGGGTGTCAGCAAGGCTCCACGGGACCCATTAATATGCCAGCAGCCGACAGGGATCCTCACCTACGCACGCTTAATATTCCTGTATATTAAACAACCATAAATCAGAGGATATAAGCACTGAGGGCTGTGTGTGTGTGTTTGTGTTATGTGTAGGTGTGCAGAGAAACGTTGTACTGTTATAAAAATGCATTGTGTGTGTGTGTGCTTGTATGTACAAGTGTGAGATGTACATGGAGCACTGGGCATTTTTAGGGAATAGGAATGGGGTGTATTTGGGTCAGCTTAGGGAATTTATGTATGTTGTTTGTCCAATGGTGTGCATTTATGTGAACGTGCTTTCAGATAGTAACTCAAAGTGTGTGAACGAATCAGTCGTTTAGCCTCACTTTAGCCCCAAAGCCTTACTGCTGACCTGTGAGAAGTAAATCTTTTTTTATTTTTTTTCCTTTTGGGGGGGGGGTATATATTTTTATCATTCAGTGGCTTTTATTCCAGAAACAAATGAGCAACATCGTTTTTTTTTATTAATTGTTTCATGTCCGATTTTGCAAATGCTGCCTTTTTGAAATTTGGTATGCTTGTTTGTCTTTGTGTCTATGGTGTAATAATAATGATGTGATTGTGATGCTGTAATTCTGAGTGTTTTATGTGCTGCAGAACAGGAAYCTGCTGTAAAACAGCAATTATGCTGAGTCAGGCTTGATTTTTAATAATCTTTTCCTGTTAAATAAATAAATCAAATCAATGTTTCATCTCTTCATCTTTGCTTCTTGCTGAGGTGACATTCTTTTATTTCTACACAAGAAATGTCAATCAAATCATATGCGTGCTGCAGAATAGTTTATTTTATGCTGATGAGTTAGATTTTCTGTAAGTGGTTGACATATTTTGTGAACCAGTTTGTTTCTTTTGTTTACATAAGAAATACAAAAAAAAAAAAAAGAATCTTGGTCCCACTGGATTTATTTTCAAAGTCTGCACTCTCCACAGTGGCTCTGTAAGCTTTAAGAGTTTTATTTTATATATTTTTGGTTCTGTTATGGTTACAATCAGTGAGAGGACTCTTTGAAAAGGATTTGCTACACAAAACAAAACAAAAAATGGTGGTAAGAGACAGACTATATAAAGCAGAGCAGAGTGGGAAGTGGAGACACCTGGGCTGACTGATGAGTAGGAACAGGTGTGAACGGTGCTGAAAACGCTGAGAAGCTAAACAGGAAATAAGAAAATAAAACGCAATGTAAAAACAACAAAGTACAGACGATCTAAAAGACAAAAAAATAACTACAACCATAAAACAATAACCAAAATACATCAATTATGACTTACTGCATTTAAATGTAATTTTTTTCTCATCATATAAGCTCAATCGTGGCAGCATTTTTCCTCTCCATTTTTATTCAGGCATGCACTGTCCCTCTTCCCCTCCCCCCTTGATATTAATCCATGTTACTTGAATGCAAATCACCTTGTTTAATTAGAGACAAAAAAAAAGTGTGTGTGGGGGAGGGGGGGGGGGTACCGCACACCCACCACCACCACCACCCCCTGATTCTGGTATTCATGATGTGCTGTGGGTCTCTGGGTCCGAAGCAGGAGAGAAAGGCAGTCAGGGCCTAATTTTGTTTTCCCAGTAGGGCCAACTATTAGTTTCTCAGCTCATTAATTGCGCTGTTGTGGAGAATCATTAATAGTTAAAGTTGCCCTACAATAATGTATAATAGATACTAGACACATTTGACGGAGCCTCTCTTTTTTTTCTTTCTTTTTTTTAATTTTGATGTAAGTTCAAATTTTTTCTAATGGTTTGAGTGAACGTTGTACGAAGCTGACATCAAGCATGCTGGGAAATGATGGTGAGAGTAAAAGCACCACGTTTAAACAGACTGTCGTGCACGTTCCCATCTCTGATCGGGAGGAGTGTGTGACGATCCGCATCTTAGCCACTTTGTGTGGGCTTTCTGTTCACGAGTGTGTGTGTGTGTATGATAGACAGTAAGTAGAGTGTGTGTGTAACTGCGTCTGTTCCTGCCCTCTTGGCTGTACTTGCTCAGATCAGTGACAGGCACTTTTTTTTTGTGAAAGAGGTCATTAAAATCCCTCCCAAGGCAGCTTGATGCGTGCGTGTGTGTGTGTGTGTGTGTGTGTGTGTGTGTGTGTGTG